TTGTGGACGATAAATCCGACACCTCCTTGGGACAGATGGTCGCCCTCCCGGTGATAGAACAAGTTGCCGGACTCGAGGATTGCCGTGTCCTCCCCCTCTCTTCGGACCTCGGATAATCCAATAATATGCCAGCGCAACTTGTCTACCTCTTCTTCCAGCTCCAGTATCTTCTCGTCAGTCCTCAGGGTGCGTGCGTTATATGTTGCCAGGTCGAGTCGTCGTAGGTGGCAACCGAACCTCCACCGGAGATTCTTAACACCCCCTGCCCCGCCGTTACCATGGTCGCCACCGTAGCCAGGAATAGCGGGGCCGCCGGGGACTGGGGGCCGTCTGTTTGTGTATTTATTCATTGGGGGGTATTTGCCATAGTTGCCACGCTTGGCGAGCTGGTTGGCAACCGCAGTTTTTTATTACGTCACAGTTGTCATCAGGAAGACGCTGCTGCACATCTCCTGCCTGTCTCCCTCTGTCGCCTCTTACGACACCCACGGGAAGATATGGGGTAGTGGATATTCTTAACCGCCACTACACGGCAACTAACACTACTAGGTTATGAACTTTACTAATTAAAAAATAGAAAGTACCTAGTACTATTTTATAAAAAGTCGGGAGAAAAATTAAAAACATTTTTTCAATAAAAATCACTCTATCAGCTATAAAGGCGGTTTAAAAATATAGTTTTAAACGGATATTTAGGTAGGATGGTAAATTAAATATTTTCAGTAAATTATCACGGAGTTTTCCAAACATTTTGTAATCTTTATATATAAAAATTACACACACATTGTTTGTCCGTGATGAACTACCTAAACTACTGAACTGATTTTAATGACATTCTGTCAATGATTTCAAAAGGAAGGATAGGCCCATCTAAAAATTTTTCTCGTAATTTTTTCATACAAGAAAAAGAAGTGCATCTACCGTAATACAAACGTTATATCAAAACACGACGTAACCAGGGTCGGATTTCGTAGTATAATTATCCTAATTGTATTGTACCATTATTTCATAGTTTGTAGTATATAGTATCGTAATAATACTAAGCGAAAATACCATAATTTTACCTATGGGTCTACTTGTATTATTATTGGGTCCTTTTACTTTTTAATATTAATCCTACGATATCGAGAATTTCTGTATTGTACATGAGTACCGCGTTTTTTTAATAAAATTCCCTTTCTGGTCAATCGGGGCTCGATCGATGCATTTATGTTTCATCCTTTATACAACTATAATGAGGGTCTACCACAATAAAAACTCCTATTTTCCAGAAGTAATCGGTTTGAAAACAGAATTTTAAAATATTTTATGAATCAGATTTTCAGATTCACTTAAGCAAATATGGTTTCTTTTGTACTCTTTTCGTTTTACCCTTATTGAATATAAAATATATTAGGTACCAATATTCAACATTTAACTTACAGTAAGTTTATTAGACAAAAATAAAACAGAAATAAAAATAAAACCGTCAAAAAACGAAACGTATAGATAAACTAGACGCGTGACGCCAAAATCCCGACACTTGGGAAAAAAGAAACATGATACTTCAAACGTGATTACAATTTTTTTTAAATAGCATATTTTTTCTATGAACAATATTTTTGAGGATCTGAATCCAACCCTGGCCTAATTTTGGTTACGTAACTAAACTAACTAGAAAATAAAACTTTATAAATGCGTTTATATAACAATTTTATTATAACAAAATTAATATAAGGTTATTTACCGATGATACGATACCGCATGTTTTTAAAAATCTTTGTATCGTAATTTTTGCACTCTCACCACGCAACTAGACATATTTGTGACAGACAAATCTGTCCTGCGCGCGCACCAGTGTCGACCGATTGGCGTTGGCCCTAAACTGTAATTTTAGGGCCAGCGCTCTGGTCCGTTTTAGTAGTTCGGTCAGCCCTTTCCTTACGCTAGTAATATGTAAGTCGATGCATTCTGTACACTGTGTACTCCTCAATATTTTTAATATAAATTCAAGGATTTTTTATAAGACAAAGGTTCATTGGAGGGCAGAACAACGCCTGTCTGACCAGCTAGTTTGAATATAAATTTCTCAGAAAAGCCGTTATAAATGTGTATATTCGTGGTCAAACATACAATTTACGAAAGTCACCTGACGTCTGATCGCACATTGAATGGGTGTGGGAAAAGTGAAGACGCCGCCATCAATCCTGTCTTTTGGACAAGCAAAGTTGAATTAATTCCTTTTCTTCGTCTCTTGTGAAAATCCATTAATACGGCGTGGTTTATCAATATTTTAAATCAAATAAATCAAACAAAACTTTCCGCTACGCATCCACAATATATTATATTCTACAACTAAGTATATTATTCATGTTTTCTTCACAAATTTCTATCGCGGTTACAATTTCGGAATATTAATAGAGGCTATTAACCTCTATTCATATTAATATTCCGAAATGTTATCCTCTATTAATATACCGAAACTAATGTTTCGAACTGAGCTGCGAGATAATACCTAATATAGTGCTGCAAGTATTCTTGATAACATAGGTACTAATACTAGACGTTATTATCATAATATATAATAAAAAGAATGTTGGATTCGATTTGACTTTTATTTTTACTCAAGACTGACTGAAGTCACATTTTTCATTGGGAAAGAGACAAAGAGAATACGAATCAACATTATTACCTAACCTTAAAATTAGACATTTTTACTGCACATTGTTATTACACATTCTACAACCGTTTTAGTTTTACATAAAGAACACATTATTAAGGTTATTTATATCTTTATATTTATTTAAGACAAAAATACATTTAGTATACTAGTTGAATCCACTAATTTAACAAAAAATTCATCCATAGATGACTTAATTTAATTCATATCTATTTATTTTTTATTTATTTATTTAACATGAGAGTAAACATCATGATGTCATCTTGTACTTATATGAACTCTACTTATTTTATAGTGAAATTTCTTCCAGTAAGTTAGTTACAAAGATATATGGTAAAAAAGATACACCACACACAATGATAAAATAAATACATACGCCTGGACATATACTTATATGTACTCGTACTTAAACACACATAAATACATAAAGTTTAAAAAGTCATATATAGTCAAATGATGAAGAAAAATTATTAAAAAAACTCTCAAACATTGTGTCCTTTCTAACTTTTAAATTCAAAGTGCGTGTTACTCGTAATGCATTATTTTAACTGATTTTATTGCGCACGTACACATTCGTAAGGGTCGATCGGTATGCAAAAACGTCAAACGCCCGTAATCACATTCAGTTTGGGATCATTTCAAATAAAAGTAGAAGCCTTATTTACTTCTATTTTCAAAAACATCAATAACGGTATATCATTATTTATACAAGGTGTAAGTGTAAACACCGTTGGCACTAAAACCTTAGGCAGTTGGCTTTAATATAAAAATATTTATCTTCTATATAATAAAGAGTTTTCGACTGTGGCATTACATTATCCCTTTGCATTTGACATTAAATATGCGTGCGCAAATTGGAGGCAACGAAAATGCTCAAGAATTTTCCGATTTGCTACTTGTGATTGGTATAGGTCGCCCCACGAAAGATGAAATTAAATAGCGTTCACTGCGCATGTACAATCAAGCAGAAAAATGAAAATTTTATTATGGCATTTTAATGTGTAAAAAGTCAAAGGTCAACATTATAACTACACATCAAAGTCTCCACGAAAACGGAACGATATATTTATATATCATCGTTAGGTTTTAACAGCTTCTAAATAATATTCTACATTTTATGTACACTTAGTTAAAGAAATAAAATATTTTGTATTTGTATTTTTGTATTTGTATTTATTTATTTATTTTTATTCTTTATTGCATCTTTAAACAAAAGAATACAAAGGGCGGACTTAATGCCTTGAGGCATTCTCTACCAGTCAACCCATGGAGTAGTGAGAATTTGACGTAGGTGTGGCAATATAGAATAAGAGAACACAATACAAATGATAATTAACTACATAATATATACAAACTACTAATAAATAAACTATACATATATGATCTATCCTTACATATATACAAATATATAAATAAATTGATATACATACATGTATACATATTTAAATACATACATAATTAGTATATCCAAATGACTATGAATATATACGTATGTTTGGCAATACATCGCTCATTTGGTGCAACAATGACGTAATTACACTCTTTTTAAAAAACAAGTTAAATATGTCAAAATGTGCGGAAAGACTATTTACATCGGGTGAAACATCGACAGAATTGAATTTGTGGTGATTTGTCGCGAGATGGCGCGAGTGTCTTTGTAGAATTAAGTAAAATGGCGCCATTTCTGTTGCTACAACGTCTGGATGGCCAGTTGCGCGGGGCGTCCCGCTGAGTGTGGTTGTGTTTGGGAGCTACAACGACTTAAAGGTATTTATGACATTTAATCCGATAAATTTTGTTGCAACAATGCCTTAATTGAGTAATTGTGGCGTTGTTGCTCCAAAAATTAGTGAGTTTTTGGAGAAACAATAACAAAATTGCGTGATTACGTCAATGTTTCTCCAACTAAAGTATCTTCTTGGTGAAACAACGACAGAATTTTGTAAATATGTCATTATAGCTCCAAATATGGTATTTTTTAAAGATCAATAACAAAATTGAGTAATTACGTCGTTTTTTCTCCAGATAAATTATTAAACTGCTGAAACGATGTCAGAATTGTGTAATTACGTCCTTATTACTGCAAATAAAGTATGTTCTTTTTTGAAAATAGGCGGAATTACGTAACTGTGTCATTGTTATTCCAGTACGATTAGGTGTATAATTATAATTTTGACATTTTGACAGTGAGAAAAAGTATGACTAGGAGATAGTTAAATGTATTAAATAATAAGCCTATAATAGCCAATACTACTTAATTAACTAAATTAATTTAAACTTTCAGTTAAGAACATAATTAATGATGGATAACCGTGCAAGACGATTGGTGAGCTATTGTACAATGGAAGGGAAAGTACCACCATTTGCAAAACCAAATGCTTCAGAAGTTAATAAGCGATTTAAAGATGGTAAGTTTGTAGTATGTTAGTTAATTCTTATTTAATAAATCACAATCAAAAGTACCTACCTCATCCACCTATTAAAAGTAAGTAGTAATCGGTTGATGAGATAGATTGTACTTTCGGTTGTGATTTATTAAACAAATATTTATTTTTGTTGCAGCGAATGATAAAGATACATTTATAACAAAAAATAAAGTAATTCGTTGTGAAAATAATATGCCACAATATGATGTACCTGACTTAGACATAAATTTTCAAGCTCCAATTGATTCACCAACTTGTGTTAGCCAATCTATGGATTCTGATATGACATTGGAAACAAAGTCAAAGTCATTGGCTTATGATAATGTACCGGAAATGAATACACATTATGATGCAGATTTTTCTCCAGACGACAGTGGAGAAGAATACCGTCCTGAAAAAGTTAAACGTACATATCCATTAATAGGTAGTAGACGAAGATCATCATCGAATTCTTCTTCTTCAAGTTCTTGCACATCATCTAGCATCATATCATCATCTAAGAACACTTCTACACAAAGTGTTGCAATTTTGTCGCAGAATCAACCTTTTATTTTAAACCAAGACTAAAACATTTACCCTAACAATAGTATTCGAAATAATGAACCTCCTGACATGGATCAAAATCCAGAATCACCTAAGAAAACAAAAAAAAAGGATAAGAAATCCAGCGGCTTGGAGGAAAAATCAACGTGCTCAGCTGAAGAATTCAGGTCAGGAGTATATTTCTCGGACGGGCAAGATCATTCCTGCTAAAGAGATTAAGCCCCCGTGCTCTAACAAGTGCAAACATAAATGTTCAGAACACATTTCAGAGGAGCAAAGATATGATATTTTCAAAATGTATTGGGATTTATCCTCTCTCCAAAGACGGCGCGATTTTTTGAATTCGATAATAACTGTGCTACAACTGGCACAACGTCGTTTGAAAACTGGTGTAGAAAAGAACAGAAAACCTAATACTTATTATTCCTTGATGTCTAATGGTAAGAGTTTCAGGGTATGCAAATTATTTTTGTTGAATACATTGGGGATTTCCGAACGTACTTTACGTACCGTAATCGAGGCCAAGACAAATAATGAATCTAAAGGCGTAGCACCAATTGACAAACGCGGCTGCCATAAAAACCATAGCAAAACTAGTTCTGAGGTACAAGAGTCTGTTCGGATTCATATAAATTCAATTAGTAGAATTGAAAGCCACTATCTCCGTGCTAACACCACTAGAGAATATATTGATGGTGGCCTAACAATAGCTGATCTGCATCGCGATTATAAGAGATTAAGAGAATCCGAAAACAAAGAGGCTGCAACTTACGATTCATACTTTCGCATATTTAATACGGAATTCAATATTTCTTTTTTTGTGCCAAAAAAAGACCAATGCGATGTCTGTGAACAATATAAAAATGCTATTGGTGAGGAGAAAGAAAAACTAGAGGCTGACTACACATAACATTGCCGGCAGAAAGTACTTAGTCGAATGGAAAAGAAGACTGTATGTATAGAAATATGTAAGAATACAGATAGTAATGAAATAGTTGCAATTTATGATCTTCAAGCAGTCATGCCAGTGCCAGTCGGCGAGTCCTCGTCTTTTTACTATAAATCAAAATTGAACTGCTTTAACTTTACAGTATGTACCTATTATGGCTCAAAATATTATTTTATGCACTTTTTTATGAATAGTTTGATAACCGTCTTGTTTTATAGGTATCAGATGTAAAGGACCGACAAACCTATTGTTACTTTTGGCATGAGGCTATGGGAGGTAGAGGAGCAATTGAGATTGGTTCCTGTATCCTTAAATACCTGCAACGTGTCGCTAATAATCACCCTGGTTGTAACATCACATTTTATAGCGACAATTGTGGCGGGCAACAAAAAAATAGGTTCATTTCATTTGTTAAGAACTTTTTTGTAGTTTTATGCAGTGTCTTAATATTTTCTATATTTTTTTAGATTTATATTTTCCATGTACTTGTATGCAGTCAAAACTCTACCAATCAATAAAATCACACACAAATTTTTAATAAGGGGACATACCCAAAATGAGGGAGATACGGCCCACTCCATAAAGGCAATAAAAAGAGCTAAAAAATCGGGCGCTATTTATGTACCAGATCAGTATGTACAAATAATAAGATCTGCAAAGATAAAACGTAACCAATTTATTGTTGAAGAACTGAATTTCGATGATTTTTATGATTTGAAAAAATTATCGGACGAAATCGAACTTAACACTGTCAAAGTTGTAGAAGGAAACACCATAAAAACCTCAGATCTGAAAGCAATAGAATTTACAAAAAACAATGATGCAGTATACAAGTACAAACTCAAATTCGACGATAACTGGAATGATGCTGAAATAAAAAAAAAACAAAGATCTACTAGTCAACGAATAACTAAGGCTATAGAAGATATCAATGTGGTTCCAGCGTATACTTCAAAAAGAGAAATTTCCGCAAACAAGATAAATGATTTAAAAGAACTGTTACAAAAAAACATAATTCCTCGGTATTACTCAGCTTTTTATGAAAGTATTTTCTAAAGTTTTTTGTTTCTATTGTTTAAGTATTTTTACACTTACGCGCATACTAGCGTATATCACTTAGTTAAAAGTAGATAAGTAAATAATCTGTGATTTTGTGCCAATAAGACTTACAAATTGTGATCATAGTTAAGTATTAAGATGTTTCCCCTTTTAATCTTAAGTAAACCTAGTGAACACAGGATATACCTACATGGATGTTTTTCCTTAAGTTTATTTTTTTAAACATTCATAAATAAATGTTTACGTTGATTAATTAAATTATTTAGTTTTATTTTGTCTCAAATGCAAAATTTCCTAGCAGACGCGTTATTTTTTATATTGAATTCTGAAGCAACAGTGACGTATTTACAGGTACCTTCTTTTATTTAGGTCTATAATCTAGGTTATGTACAATGTACCGAGTAGATTGGGGCTATAATAGAAACTACATATATTGCACTTACATTTAAAATCACGACGATTGTAATAAGTCCCTTCAAAATGTCATACCTTTAATAGAAATCTTTGATTGGGTCTCCTGTAAAATTTCTAAAAGTGTAATTACGTCATTGTTGCACCAAATAGGCGACATATTAAATAGATGAGTCACGTAAAATGCGTTGTCTTTAATAAATGATTACGGACCAACTTTTTAAAAGCGTACTTATTGGGAGCTTTTCTGATGTCATCGGGGAAGGAGTTCCAAAGGCGTGTAGCCTGAACTGTGAAGGAGTTACCATAGAACTCGGTGAAGTGAAATGGAGTACAGATTTTGTTGTTAGAAGAAGAGCGTAGGGCCCTATCATGAGATGAGGAAAGATAATGAAAGTTACTCTTAAGATAAGAAGGCGAAGATGGATCATTTAACATGGAAAAAAGTACAAGTAATATTCTGTAGTTGCGCCTCTGCCGGATTGTAAGTCGATTTAGCTTAGATCTGTATTGCGAAATATGATCATACTTACGAAGCCCAAAGATAAATCTTATACAGTTATTGAGGAGGCGTTCCAGCTTGTTCAGAAGATCTTGGGACAGGTCTGGGTAACACACATCTGCATAATCAATTATGGGTAATATAAGTGAATGGACAAGCATGATCTTAGATTTTGTGGGAAGAAAATGTTTTAAACGATACAGAGAGCATAACGTGGCAGTGACTTTACGACTCACATCTGAAACCTGAGTTCTCCAATTCAGCGTGCTGTCGATGTGAAGGCCAAGATTTCTAACAGAATTACTAAGTGGAATTGTAATATTATCATAGTAAATAGGTGGTAAGTCTGTCAGATTAATCTTAGCTAGCATCCTTGAGTTACCCACCAGTATAGCTTGGCATTTCAAAGGATTGACCAAAACTCCATAACGAGTAGACCAATCCTTGATAGCTGCTAAGTTGCCGTTAAGGTTTTTGATCCCATTATGGATATCCCCAATCTTAGTTTGCACATAAAGCTGAAGGTCATCGGCGTACAAATGGTACGAGCAGTCGATGATGGAGGTAATAAAGTTTATAAAAATTGATATATATATATATATTTATATATATATATATATATATATATATATATATATATATATATATATAATACCGCCTTGCGGCACACCAGCATCCACATCAGCCCAAGCTGAGGACAGTTGCCCCACACTGACTGACTGCTGTCGACTGCGAAGATAAGATGCAAACTAATCCAATTCAGTAGGGCCAAAATTCAGATGAGACAGTATGGAAAGAAGGATTTCATGATCAACTGTGTTGAAAGCATTTGAGTACTAGTAACTAGTACCAGTACTGTTATTTTTTTTTCTTCCATGCCTTGTTTAATATTATCAATAACATTAATTAATGCAGTAGTGGTACTACGACCAGGACGAAACCCATACTGATATATACTTAGTAGGGTATGTTTCGAAATAAAAGTAGAAATTTGCTTGTAAACACAGGATTCTAAAATTTTGGAAAGAAAGGGTAGAATGGATATTGGACGAAAATGATTGGGAAGAATGGGAGTAGGAACTTTTGGGAGAGGCTTTATTGTAATTGCTGTTTAAACTATACTATGCAATAGCCTTCGATTATAATCATATTTTACATGCAATAATTTGCAAAAAAATAATGTTGTAGAGAATAACAAAATATTTACAACTTTATTCAATATACTACGAATTACACTATTTTAAATAATTTATAAAGTAATAAATATTTGCACTCTATTTGAAAATATTATAGAACAATATTTTTAAAAGTACAAACATAACCGCAAAAATTTAAAATTTTATAACAGGTAGTCGCCAACACATTCGGTATCGATAGTACACAATACGACACAAGAAGGTGCGCGGGCGACAGGACGCAGGGAGAGACTACGTGAAAGTAGCACGTCGCCCGTTGCTATGGTTTCGCTTCCCCGTACCTCACACCTCACCGTGCCGACACCTATTTTTCGCTTCTGCGGACTTCCATGACTCGTGGCGTTGCCTATAACGGTGTGTATCCGCAGGAACAAGGAAAAGTTGTTCTTAATGAAAACCTATGCAACATAGTTTCATCAATGCAAGACCTCATATCATCTGTGTATGGAAACTCAACGCAAATACCAACTTGCGTAAATTCCTGGCTTTGCGAAAGAGCTATTTTGACGCCAAGAAACGACCAAGCAGCAACAATAAACGCTGAAATTTTGAGCTATTTTCCGGGGGATTATGTTGAGTACATCTCCATTAACAGAGTCGTGGAAGAAGGAGAATCTACAAGTTACCCAGTAGAATTTTTAGAATTCCCATAATGCTTCTTAGAAATTAAAGCCCCCCAAAACTTTGCAATGGCACCAGGTTAAAATTGACCGATTTACAACGAAATCTGATAGAAGCAGAGATTTTAACAGGGTGTGGAAAAGGTGAAAGTGTTTCCTTTGTTCGGATACCTCTCATTCCAAACAATTTTCCATTGAGTTTTAAACGAGTCCAGTTTCCAGTCAGCCTATGTTTTGCGATGACAATTAATAAAGTCCAAGGTCGGACGCTGAAAGTTGTGGGTGTAGATCTAAGTATCAGCTGTTTCTCGCACGGTCGGTCGGTTGTATGTGGCTCTATCACGGGTTAGCAATCCTAGGAGCCTGTACGCTTTCATCCCCGATGGCCATACGTCAAATATCGTGTACAGAAAGAAGAAAAAGGAAGGGAAGGAGAAAGCATTACTGTAAAGTAAATTTTTAGCTACCCAAACGACGGTATATGTAATTTAAAATATGCTCCCCGAAAAATCACTATTCCACGCGGACAAAGTCGCGGGCACAGCTAGTTATTTTAATATAATAATAGCGCCATCTAATTACTGCTAAATAAACTAATAATAAGTACATAACTGGTCAAACTAAACACAATTCTATTAAATATATACATATTGTTGCAGTATCAAAAAATTTCAGACCGGTATAGATCTGTGGCCACTGTCGGCAGGTTTTATCATATTTGTCAATTTTAGCAAAATTACTAACAAAACTTTGATTAAGAGAGAAGGTCTTTAGTTGAATATGTTGTGTATCTATCGGAATAGCAATATTTCACCAATTTCTTTTTGTGTCAAGTCCGATATAAAGTAATTGAAAATTAAATGCACTATGACATTTTTATCCATAATTGATGGAATAGTTTGCGATACCGTTGATGCAGCATTTTTTACTTTTAATGAGATTTATAAAGCAGTTTGTCATATATTAAAATAGCTTTCATATTTTCAGAGATAACTATTAAAATTTTTGTGAGAGTCCCGGTTGCATACCTCACATTAGTAAATGAACAGGTTCTTGTGAAAAAGTACTATAAATATCAAAGAAAGCAAATTTTAAACATGGGTTTATTTTTATTTTAACTATGAGTAGAACTGCGTTGAAACATCTTGAAAGTCATCTGTATAAGCTTGTAAT